TCTAACGTTCTATGATTCTATGACTGTGTCTCACTTGGGTTTCTTACCTGTGGTGACAGATCTTTTTCAAATCCTCCATGTAGCTTGCACAAATTTTCTGCAGAGGGTCTCGCATCAGGGTGCTGGTATCGACCAGGGTCTCGTTCCAGGAGTCGTCCCAGGGCTCGGCGCACTCCTCGATGCACTTCAAGATCTCCTTATCGTGAGGGGAGGTGATCTGAGCTCCGTTTTCCCAGTATACCTAGAGCGGGAGAAGCCAGGAAGCCCGACGAGAGGTTCTGAGTCAGAATCGCAGAACGTCAAGTGAACTCTTCAGACTGAACAGACATCCGGTGGTAACATTTCTGTAGGGATTCACCCAATCCAGCAATGTAATCTTATGTGACAGAGCAGAATTGGGTTGCTGGAGAGACACTAAAAAGTTCAGTCATGAGATAAACAGATATTTGGTTCTCTGACAATGACAGGAATAAAGGGTTGAAGTGAAAAATACGATCCTCCACTTCTGGCAGGAACTTTTTGATAATAACACCCAGGGCTATTTTGGGGCAGGAACGCACAGGAACGGAGTTCCGGCTGGCTTCAGAGTTGGCCACGCCCACTACAACCAAAACCTCTCTGTGGGTGGCTACAGAGGGAAGGCCTGGAGAGCGCCCCCCCCCCCCGGCCATTAAATGCCTCCCCGTGCCTTCCCTGGCCTGTCTAAACTGCCTTCCCTTCCCTTCATGGGGGGCTTGCCTGGGCAAGCCAAGGGAAGGCATGGGGTGTGTGGCCTAATATGCTAATGAGCTGCACCACCAGGGGTGTGGCCTAATATGCTAATGTGTTTCTGCTGTTGGGCGTGGCCTATTATACTAATGAGTTTCTGCTGTTGGGCATGGCCTATTATGCTAATAAGCTCCTGCTGGGCTTTTCCTACAAAAAAAAGCCCTGATAACACCCAAACGTGGGAGAAGGGAGTATTTGGAAACAACACACACAGCTCACAGTGATCTGAACACTGCGGCCTGTGCCACCGACGGCCCCGCACAGCACAGACCTTTTTATTTAAAGGGCCAGAGACTAGCAGACACAGAGAGAGCTGCCGGCCTACCTTGTACCCGTTGTCTTCCTTGCGGTTATGGGAAGCCGTGATCATCACGCCGGCCACGGCGCCGAGCTGCTGAACTGCGTAGGGCTGCAAGAGAAGAGGCGGAGTCACTGCGGTGCGATGGCCTCAGGGAAGGGCAACACGTCACACGACTGTCTGCAAAGAGGACCGTTGCGCGCCACACGTCACTCTTTCAGAATGGGATCCAGCAGGAAGTGCTGGAGTAAGCGGCTCAGCATGCCTGGACATTGGGGGAAGGGGGCACTACATTGCTCTAAGTGTGCAAGTGTTATCTCCTTGAATGGGGGGAAGAAGTAGAAGAGGAGGAGGAGGAGGAGGAGGAGGAAGAGATTGGATTTATACCCCGCCCTTCACTACCCCAAGGGTGTCTCAGAGCGGCTCACAAACTCCTTTCCCTTCCCCTCCCCACAACAGACACCCTGTGAGGTAGGTGGGGCTGAGAGAACTCTGACAGAAACGGCTCTTTTTCAAGGACAGCTCTGAAAGAACTTGTGACTGACCCAAGGTCAACCAGCCAGGTGCAAGTGGAGGAGTGGGGAATCAAACCTGGTTCTCCCAGATTAGAGTCCGTGCACTCAACCACTACACCAAACTGCCTCAACAGATCAATGCTATTCGTGGTAAGCTAGCCTCTCCAGAGTTTCCCA